CGTGCAGTTGCTGGCGCTCTGTGGTCTGTCTTTGAGTGGATATGTCTGCAGGAGTCTGAGGAGGCTTTCAACCAAGAGAACCACAGCATCCCTGATCTTCATTAAGTCCTGGCCAGAGAAATGCAGCTCTTCCTCCTCCTCCTCCTCCTCATCCACTTCCATCTGAGGATAACAGCAACAGGCACCATCATTTCCACACATCTCCCTCTACACCCGATTTATTCCACCAAAGGTCATTTTAAATATATATAATTTATCTCCATCTGTGTTAGGTACATCATAATGAAGAGTAAAAGTGTAACTACAAGTGTAAAATATTTCAGTGTCCTTTGACCTGCTGTTGATAGCTAATCCATCACAGTGATATAACCCCTCAAAGATGCCTTATTATTGCGTAGTAAAGTAAAGTTCCAACAAAGGGATACATTTAATCTTGCTGGCCCATTCATTGTGACTCTCAAATCATAGCAATCCATACACTTTACTGAGTAAAGAACTTTAACCTACTAGGGGGCACTAAATGTAAAGTCAGTGCATGAAAGTCTGTAACAAATTAGGGGTGGGTAATCTGACGATTTTAGATTGAGATCATGATTAAATTAAATAGATTGTGATATTTTTCTCCAACCCCTGTGGAATGTAAAGATATACTGAGAGGCAGTTTATTGCAATAAAAATATGTGAAGATTTAAATTGGTGAGATGAAAAACGGTGAATAGCAGAGGGAGCCATCTACTTTTGAGTGTGCTTGTTTGACGCACTATGTCACTTGCCTCATTAGCTGCATCAGTTTAACTTTCACACAGAAGTTTTGCAGTTTATTGCCTTTCTCAGAAATACAAAAGGATTCTATAATTGATAATTGATTAAGAAAATAGAAGAGGAAATATATTTAGTAAATTTTTGTCTGAGTGATAAAGGAATGTTTTGTCTTCAGTCTCATTACGTTAAGAAAAAACAAATCGTGAGAAAATCATATTGTGAACCCAGTATTGTGAATTGTTTCGAACTGTGAGTTAAGTGTATTGTTACATCCCTACAGGTAACACACTTTGTGCTATCGGATCTTAGAACAGTCCTGGGGGTTTGAGTGATTTCTGATACAGGACTGTACCTCAACAGTGTCTTTCCTCTGTGGTTTGGAGCGTTTGCCGTCTGCCTGAGAACTCTTCAGGCCGTCTTTCTTGCGCTTCTTCCCAGCGTCCTGAGGATAGCAGTGAGAGGTCAGGTCTGAACACGTGTCCAACAAAACCTCATGGAAGACCTTGTTGGCGATACTTCCTGGAAGCAATAAACACATATACAGAAAGTCATATTAAAAAACGAGTGTAAAGTGTAAACGAGATACACTTTAAAGGGGATTGTGCTACAGCACCCAGAAAGCAACCCAACCTTGAGACTGAAAGCTGGCGTCAAGGAGGCAAAACGGAGACACCAGCAGAGACTGGAGAGATCTCTGGTGCTCAGAGTAAAACCTCCTGCTCAATGACAGCAACAACCAAGGAGCTCAGTGTTTCCTCTAGGATTTTTTTTTTTAACGGTGGGGACAGGCCTGTCCGAATAACCCCCCGTTTTTACAATAAGCTACATCAACACAACAGTATGTGGAGTTAAAGTAGACAGCCCCAATAACCTCTGAATAGTTCTACTTGTTGTTACATTGCAATGTGAGCGGCAGCCAACGGGGGTTGCATTATGTCGGCAGGATCATTTAAAAGGCAACCGTGACTACATTGTGCGTCTGCCCCATTTCTGATACCGTGAAAAAAATTAACAGCGGCGGGCCGTCGCTCCAAAATCAACATGGAGGAAACACTGGAGCTGATTGTTGATTTTAGGAAAAAATATGCAAAAATGCATGAATGCACATTTTTGTATTTTAAGAAGTTCATAACCTGTAGTTTTTAGACACCTGATAGTAAGTAAGGCTGAGATGTAGTGAGCAAAGATGGATTTAATAATCTATAGCTCCGTTCTAATCAAATCTAACTGACAAGTAGATTACTTATAAAAGTAGTTGTGATTCATTACTTCCACCAGGTGATCATGACATAGTTTGTCCAGCAGAGCCACTCAGACTCTATTGTTTACAACCCTGTGGCAAGCAGCGTGGAATGAGATACAAGAAGCAGCCCTTTAATGACAATCACACTCAAATACATCTGTTGTACATATAGTTAGTTATATTTCTTGAGTAGTAATTCCTTCTAAGACAAATAGTTATTCAAAAAACCTTTGTTTGACTAGTTTTTTACTGGACCCACCCTTCATATGCCACAACAGGAAGATCCTCAAACTGTTGTTTTAACACTTTTATTAAATCTGACTTTGTAGCTGCACTGAAATTTTGTGTAGACCCTCTTAGGTGTACATTTCTCAGATTTCCTCACCTGGGATTCCCAGAAGCAGCAGGTAGACTGAGGCGGCATGCAGACTGTTCACTCTCTGCTGGACACTGGCCGCTTTGGCTTTTACCGCCAGGACAAAGGAGGACAGCACGGCCACCAGAGACTTGACCGACACCCCATTCTCTCCCAGAGTCGCCCAGATGCTCTGCAGTGCAACATGGGAGACAGTCAGCACTTACTGCTAGCAGTCAGAAATAAAACAATACAGAGCAAACAGGGCTTCCACTCTTTTTAACAAGTCATTTTCCAGAGTTTCATTACATACATTACTAAGTAAAATAGAAAGTGTTGGTTGCATGTACAATTAACACTACTAAGCATGAAATCAATCCAGAAAGACTTGAAGCAGATTTGGAAAATTAGCAACAGAAATGTAAAATATACATGATTTCAAGTAAATGGAATAAAACATGCTAGATTCCCCACACAGTGCTCTAAATAATCCTATTTGTGTCCCTGGAGGACAGAGCGTCTGTGCAGTTTTACCCGTGATCCTCCATCTCCGCCTGCAGACTGTTGCTGTTGAGCAGCGTGGGCCAGCAGACACTGGTACAGGGTTCTGAAGGCCTTGTCTCCACTGTCTGCGAGTCCCTCCTCTATGGTTTCATCCAGTGGCTTTCTCTCTGTGAACTCCAAGTCCCACACTTCATCCACCCAGGCTGAAAAATCACAACGTCACATTACCGGAGTGATACAAAACCCGCACACCCACACCGCATATTGGAACTTAACTGACGCAGCGACTGGGGATTATTTTAATGATCTTTTAATCTGCTTATTATGTTCTATATTTCTCAATTAATCATCCCAATTTAACCCCCTGCAGTCTCTCATAGCCCAGGTGGTAACATTAAATGTCCTGTTTTGTCCACTCAACAGTCACAAGCTATAAAATATTCATTTTACTATAATATCATTGCTTTGAAAGTGTCTGAAACAACTAAGGCTGCACATTTAATCGAAATATTATCAAAATCACAATATGGCCAAGTGCAATATCCAGTGAAAAACAGGTCAAGTGTGTGACGAACAGCATTATAATGAGTTACTGTAGTTCTGCAGAGATGTGCTGGCCTACAAATGTTGTTCTCCAGATGTAAGAAATCATGTTTGTTTGGTACAGACTCCAACAAATGCCAAATAATGCATCACAGTATGTTCAAAAAAACAAAAACATATTGCGATTAGTTTGACAGATATTGTGATAGGATTCATGATTCGTGGGAAGGATCATATTTGCATCTTAATTGATATTTTCCCTGAAAAGAAAGAAAGATGTGGCATTAGTTGGTCTGTACCAAACTAACGTGTTTTCTTACATCTGGAGAAGAAGCTGTTTAGAGCAGGGTCTCCCTGCAGCACTGCAGCACTGCATTATAATGCTGTTTGTCACACATTTGACCTTTAACACACAAACTGCAGCTCCTTGCTCCAACGTTAACGATACTACAAACATCCAATGTTCAACTCGGCGAACAGACAACCAGCGTTAACTCATAAAGCTGAGCTTAACCAAGCTGAGCTCAGGGACAGCTCAGGGACAGCTCAGCTCGCAGTATGTGTACACAACCTGGGCCGAATTTGCCACTCGTTCCCAACGATGTAGATATATGGTCTGAGGTTTCATTTTATATGTGTTTTGCTATCAAAGCAGTTTACATTGGCTAATTTGCTAAATATCGGAGCGCTGTTTTTCCCTGAATAAATTGTCACGTAAAGTTAAAGTTAAAGAATTTGTTGAATGTCTGTCTGTCTGTCAGTCAGTCGGTATTACAGAAAACGTCGTTTCCATTACAGACGAAAGGCACTATTTACCTTCTGGAACTTCTTTTAACTTCAGAAACTGTAGCGCGGATATCAAATCCATCTTGTTTTGAATCAGCCCGCCAGCCGAACCCGCCTGAAACTACAGACTTGTGCACATGCGCAAAGAAACATTTCTTCGTCGTCACTTCCTCCTTTATTTCGGTTACTCATTCAGCTTTACCGCCCCCCTCTGATCTGGACGATGGCCTGTTAGTGCGTTAGCAAGTAAGAAGTCAAATAAATAATGGGAATTATAATAAAATCATTCAAATTTAAATGTAAGTAAATGTAATAGAGGTGGGGGGCACCCGTGTACAGGGGCTGGGTCCTGGCTGCAGCAGCATGGGTTCTGTCAGGCCCCCAGCGCTTTGCTGGGTGTAACCTATATGTGTTCATAACATTTAATAGAATTTATATAAGATATTATATAAAATATTATACCATTTTGTCCTGGAGAAAAAAAAACCAAAAGCAATGTTGCTATAATGGAAATCTGAAATTTTGCTCCTTGAGCACATCCATAACCAAGGATTTAGGTTTCATTTCAGCACTGAGGGGGACACATGTTAGACTAAGCCTGAGTCTAGGCTTTGTCTTTGAGCGTCAAACACTTCAGTTGCTGCATTCTGGTGAATTTGTATGAACCAATAATTTTTTTCATTGAGATCGGGATCTCTTCTTTAAAAGAGAACTTTGTTAAAAAAATAAACATATACAGTTTAAGATTAACAATTTTCACAATTAAGAAAAGCATAGACAACTGTGTTGCAAATACAAGTAGTTCAATTCAATTCAATTCAATTCAGTTTTATTTGTATAGCGCCAATTCATAACAGAAGTTATCTCAGGACACTTTTCAAATAGAGCAGGTCTAGACCGAACTCTTTATAACATTATTTACAGAGACCCAACAGTACCACCATGAGCAAGCACTTGGCGACGGCGGCAAGGAAGAACTTCCTTTTAAGAGGCAGAAACCTCGGACAGACCGAGAGAAGTAGTACAACCTTTTAAAATATATGAAATAAGAGAATGTAACCTTTGCCGAGCTCAGTGTGAACAAGAGGTGCAGCTACTAAATTGAAATGTCCCGTGACCAGACAATGTGTGTACTGCAGGCAGTTTTTGCAATAGAGCCTATGTAATATTTTTAAGGAGGACCATCCCATCTTTTTGAATAAGTTGCAACAGTGAGTGAGAAATGTATCGCCTGTGATGAAGCGCTGTGCACTGTGACACACAGAGGCTTTAAAGTGGAACGAGCATGTATATACAATATCACCATAATCAAACACAGACAGGATTGTAGACTGTACAATGGTCTTCCGACTAGCAGCAGAGAAACATGATTTGTTTCTATACATATATATCTAAATACTTTAAGTTTGCTTGATAGGTGTTTCACATGAGTCTTATAAAATGATCCTATTCTGGTAGTTATAACATGCAACAGTTTCAGACTCAGAACCCTGAAAGGTTTGGATATGAATAGTATAGGCTGGACATTCTTAGGGGACCCTTAAAAAGAGCATACATTTAGTTTATGTGGAAAGCACTAAATTCAGGTGACAATTCAAAATGATAATGCAGTAAGGCTCCAAGGAATTCTGTATTGGGCTACATTCAAAGTTTTTTTTCTCAGATCAGCTTTTCTAATTTCATATTATGGCTGCTGAGTCAGTGCACGTGTTGGCATGATTTACTCTCCCATCCTCTTTTGTTTGTTTGGGGAAGTAACCTCTTTAAATGTGGATGTGTCACCTATACACATTGAAGATAAAATAATTCATTTTAATTAGTTTATAAACCCCTGGACTTTAATAGCTGTGTTTCAGCAAGATTTCTGCTCATGTTCAAAACCTTCTGCACATTACCTAGTAGCTCATTATCTGCCATCACAACTCTTTTTGAGACACAATGTCCAGATATCGGACCTCCTTCTCCTTTACGCTTCCGGCTCCTCCATTGTGATCAACCGTGCAAATTTTTCTTTCTGTTTTATGGCAGATTGCAGCCAGTTGGTAATGATTTAACTGTACTATTACCTTTTTATCCTGAGCTGGAAGCAGTCAAAAAGCTAAATGTGCTTTTTTTCATTTCTATATTTGATTTATTTGTTTGGAAGAAGTATGAATTTAGGCACACATCATTTCTATTACAATCTAGAATTATTTATACTAATTTATTCAAGTACATTTCAGAGCCTGTCCTTTTTCACTTTTACTTGAGTAAAGAAGTTGAATCAGTACTTCTACTTATAACGGGGTCTGTTTCACACAAGTATCTGTACTTGAGTAAAGAATGTGTGTACTTTTTTTTTTTTTTTTTTACCTCTGCAGACGTTAGAGTTATAAATGATGAACTTAATCATCAAGTGTCACATCTGGGAATGGTTGGACTGTGTCTATACATGGAGTTATCTGATTAAGATTAATACCAGGTATAAATAGGATCTATGTGTTTAGTGACAATTCCTTATGAATGAAAATCTGTTGAAAAATTACCCACCATCTCATTGCCCCTTGATGGATTTATTTTATTTTCTATTTTGGATCACAATGCAAGTCAAAAAAGGAATACGACATTGTGTGTGACCACAATGAGATAAACAGTACAGTAAAATATGTTTCTGAAAAGATTTTAGGAGAGCAGACAACGCAGTAACCGAATGTTGATCCATATCTGATCAGCACTGCCTAGTTTGACAGTTTGATCTGAGTTTGGTGCGTTGAGCTGGAAGGACTCACTGAGAATGACCTGTCAATCACAAGGTAGCCACACCCTAAAGCATACCCTGCTTTATTGTCTGTTTTACTGTAAATGGGACCATCAGTTACTAAATGAACATCATGCTGTGTGGAAGAATGCTTTAAACTAGAGACTGAGACCATAAACTCATTAGGAAACTGTTTACTGAGCTCATAAATCAAGTCAGAAGAAGGGTCATTTCTCCATAAGGCTCAATTCTATGTGACTTCTTTTTTGCAGCTCATGGAGCTGCCCCCTGCTCGCTGCTAGAAAGAATGCAGGTTTAAGGTACTAAAAACACACATTCAGCCACATCGGCACATCCGTCTGGCCGAACTTGATAATAAAAGGGTTCAGTGTGCTTCAAACAAACTAGTTCTTATAAAATGTCTCAAGGCATAGTGGCAGAAAATAGAGTGGGTGGTTGTCAGAGTTTCAGAAAGTCCAACAAGAACTCTATTTATAGCATAGTGATGCCTTTGTCACTGGCCCACCGTCCTTCCTGTCAGCTGAACGTGTCCATCTCTTTGTCCATGGC